CCCCACTCAGGGGCCCAGAGGCCAGATTGACCTATTTTATAGCGGTGTCCAGTAACACAAACACCTCCATGCAAACAAACTTGAAAATCTTTGGAGTGGAACTCACGGGAGAGGGAGGGAGTTGGGAGGTGAAATGTGCAGGGCACTTGTGGGTCACTGTCTGTGACCTGGGGACTCGGCATCTGCTTCTGGGAAATGGCCCTGCAGCTTCCCTCTTCAGTCAAGTTGCATTTGCTGTGTTAAACCTAACAATAAATAACAAACGTGAATGAGCATCACATGTCTGGAGGCTGAGTGACCAGACACACGTGGTCCTGCCCTCGTGGTGTGTTGGTCCAGAAGGAAGACACAGCAAGCAGCAATCCGTGCCTGGATGCTGGATTCTTCTTCCCTGGCCCTGCAGGGCTAGACCAGAGAGGCAGAAGAGGTCTCTCCTAGCAAGCCAGAGGGTGTCTGCAGCTGGAGCCTGAACCTCTAGATGATCCTGGTTCTCAGAGTCTATCTCGCCTAGAGGATCCCATCAGCTGATCATTTTCTCTCAGCTCGAACCCTTGCCGGGATGGGGAGCTCCACCATGCTTACATCATCATGGCTGTGGGAACTAAGGACTCCTTCGCATGGAATCAAGCTCTGCCTCCCTCTCACGTCCACCTGATGGGCCTAGTCCTTTCCTCTGGACTCACAGGGTGAAACGGGCCTGGAGCTGGACGAGCCTGGGCTGGACCCTGGCTTTGCTACAAGTGGTGCAAACTCCAGCAAGTCCCACCCAGCCCCAATTTCCTTATCTATAACATAGGGGTGCATCACATAGGGCCATTGTGAGTTCTGAATGAGTTGTCCACTGTCTGGCCCATTGTAACTGCTGAATAAATGTGAGCTGCTTTTATTATTATTTTATTATTATTATTGCTGTTTGCGTGGTCAGTGTCCTTGAGTGTTCTTCCTATGTCCTGTTTCCAGGCCATTCCCCAGAGCACACGCTGGTGAGTGTATGCCCTGCAGGGACAGCCATGCTCCAGATGTGGCTCCACCAGACTAGCTCATACTCCATCCTTCATATGAACATCAGACTTCTTCTGAAGAAAGAAGCGAGGCTGAGTGGTGTGCTATAAAGAGCTCTGAATAGACACCAAAACCAGTTGCCATCGAGTTGACTCCGACTCATGGTGGCCCCATATGTATCACAGTAGAACTGTACTCCTTATGGTTTTCAATGGCTGATTTTTCAGAGGCAGATCACCAGGCCTTTCTTCCAAGGTAGCTCTGGGTGGACTCGAACCTCCAACCTTTTTTTAGCAACCGAGTGTGTTAACCGTTTGCCCCACCCAGGGACAGACAGCCTGGGTTAAATTCTTGGCTCCTTCACCTCCCAGCTGTGTGGCCTTAGACCAGTCACAAATTTTTCAGAGAGAATCTATGAAATGGGAATATCCTATCTATCTCAGAGATAACTCTGGGCTACCAAAAGGAAAACTGAATGAGTGCTTAGTCTAGCAAATTAGGGGCAATTCTTGTATATATATGTGTTGGACATCCTAACTAACATTCCCTACTATTAGCATAATTATTGAGAAAAACCAAACCTCCCCCATTGGACTTTCTTACACTTACTTTTATAGTTTAATATTTTGTTTTTAATAATATATAGAGGAGGTACTCACAATTATTTGTGTGTGTAGGGCCTCTAACGGTCTAATCTGGCCGGCTGTCACAAGGCCTATAAATTACCTGATACATGGTAAATGTTCCACGAATGGTAGCCATTAGCTTACTTACCAAGGCTAAGTGTGACCAGCCCTGGGTGGTGCAAATGGTTAATGTGCTTGGCTGCTCACTGAAAGGTTGGAGGTTTGAGTCCACCCAGAGGTGCTTCGAAAGAAAAGCCTGGCGATCTACTTCCAAAACATCAGCCACTGAAAATCCTGTGGAGCACAGCTCTACTCTGACACACGTGGGGTTGCCATGAGTTGGAAATCAACTTGATGGCAACTGGTAAGTGTGACCCGGGATTTTTTTTTTTTTAAACCATTATGATCACTGGGTTAATAGTGTCGAGCTTGATCTCAGCTAAAAAGCTGAGTCTTTTCAAAGTCCTGAGTATGTGGACTGGAGGTAGGAGCAAGAGCAAAAGCAGGAGAGACACCAAGCATTCCAGGGCGGCCAGGGAGTGGCTGGACAAGCCTGGTCCTCCAGGACCCATGCCTTGCATGCTGGGGCTCTAGACAACAGGTGGAATCTAGATGGACTATGTGAGGATTCGTCAAGACCCTAATATGCCCCAGGTGTTCTTATGCTAGCTGGAACAAGACATAGTCCTTGCCCTTTAAGAATTCAGTGTCATGATAAAGACACACAGAGCATAGTGGAGGCAGGGGCTGCACACTGGCGACCATCAAGCCCAGTCTGCCCATAGCTGCGTTCGTTTGGCCAACAGCACTTTTTTTAACATTTTATTGTGGTTTAGGTGAAAGTTTACGGAGCAAATCAGTTTCCCATTCAACAACTTATAGATTTTTTTCCCTAACATTGTTGCAATTCCCCGAATGTGTCAGCGCTCTCCCCACTTCCACCCTGGGTTCCCATTTTCCATCCGCCCAGTTTTCCTGCCCTTCCTACCTTCTAAACTTTGTTTTTGAGAAAATGCTACTCTTTTAGTCTCACGTATTTGAATGTTCTGAGGAGCCTCATTCCTCACTGGTGTTCCTGTTCGTTTTATATGCCTATGCATTGTTTGGCTGAATAGTGATCTCTGGGAGTGGGTTCGGTTTCAAGTTTGAAGGGTGTCTAAGGGCCATAGTCTTGGGAGCTCCACCTGTCTCTCTCAGACCCAGAAGTCTGGGTTTTTTTTGTTTTGTTTTTTTTAATGAATTTGCATTTTGTTCTACATTTTTCTCCCACTCTGTCCAGGACCCTCTATTGGGATCCTGATCAGAGTGGTTGGGAGTGGTAGGCGGGCACCATCTAGTTCTTCTGGACTCAGGCTGGAGAAGGCTGTGGTTCATGTGGTCTGTTAGTCCTCTGGACTAATTGTTTCCTTGAGTCTTTGCTGTTCTTCCCCCCTCTTTGCTCCAGATGGGGAGAGACCAATAGTCGTATCTTAGACGGCCACTCACAAGCTTTTAAGACCCCAGTTGCTACTCACCAAAATAGGATGCACCAACAGCACTTTTTTAAAAATGGGATTGGAATGTCTTTGGGGGGATACTCTAGGTGACCCCACACCTCTCTGCGCCATTCATTCACAAATCAACTTATCTGCCTGGCTGCTACAGTTTGGATCCCAGGTACAGAGTCCTATGTGTGACAATACAGGCAATAACAATTGTGCCAGGAGCACACACACAAAGAAGGACTCATTCTCCCTAAAGTCCAGGAAGGCTTCACAGAGGAGGGGGTATTTGAGCTGGGAGAAAGATAAAAGGGTAAGGGCTTCAATTATAACCTGAGACCCACCCATGTCCCTTTTTTTCAAATCCTTTTTCGGTGGCCCCAGAACTGACCAAAGAGAAACATTAGATCCTTTTATTCCAGTCCAGTGTGCGGTTTCCATGATCAAGCCATTGTGACTCCCTTTCCCTCTCCAAGATGATGCAAAATGTACAGGTCCTGCTACAGGATGAAGCATCGGCCCAGAGAACAGGAGGAGAAGGAGGAGATGAGGCGGGGAGCAAGAGGGGGGAGGAGGAGGAGGGGACAAGGGCGGGAGCAAGCAGAGCGGGAGAAGGTGAGCAACAGGGAGGAGGAGGGCGGAAGGAGGATGAGGGAGAGGAAGGAAGAGGGCTCGGGGTAGAGGAGGGGAGAGGAGAAGAGGAAGAGTGAACTGTAAAACCAAACTAAAGCCATTGCCGTTGAGTCGACTCCAACTCATAGGAAGCCTATAGGACAGAGTAGAACTGCCCCATAAAGTTTCCAAGGCAGTGGCTGGTAGATTTGAACTGCTGATCTTTTGGTTAGCAGCCGAGCTCTTAAAACACTGCACCACCAGGGCTCCTTAAATGCCATAAGCCCAATAAATACCCGAGTCTTTTTACAGCAAGGAGAACACTTCAGAGCCAATAGGAAACAAATGATACTTTATTCCTTTTTTGAGAGGATAGATCGCAATACAGAGGACAGCAGTCCTGGTCACAGCGGCACCGTTTGGTTAGTTTCCACAAGGATATGGTGGACACTAGGGGTGGGATTCAATCTGACTTTCCAGGCTCTTCGTGACCTTTGGCCTCTTGTCATTCCCTCTGCAGTGGGGCTGCGTGGAGCCCTGCACAGCCTCTACCGGCTGCCCCCACACTGCACTGCCCACTGACAGGGCAGTGGGCACAGGAGCTGCTGGGCTGCTAGACCCACAAGGCATGGACAGAGAAAAAAGGACCTCACTGCTCTTGCTGTCACCCATCCCCAGATTGCTGACCCCACAAAGAATGGGGCCCCTCTGCCATCACCTGCCAAATGACCCAGCTTCAGGGACAGGAGTCTGAATCTAGACGAGCTGGGCTATAGATTGGGGTCTCGGAAGCAGGGAAGGTTGGACAGTGGGGCCGGGTTCCAGGGCTCATGGGGTTATTGCTGAGAAGATATGCCAGGGGCACATTCCCCAGGAGCAGAGTGGAAGCTCTGGGCCTGGAATCCCTGGCCACTATGCGATGGGGCTGGTAGATGGGGATTCCGGGATGGAAGATGAGCACAGAAGGGGCAGCCTGCCTGAGGGCAAAGCTGGGGCTCACAGCTCCTTGCTTTGAATCTCCAACTGCATCAAGACCCTCAGAACAGACGTGGTCAGGAGTGGAATACGGAAACACGTTCTTGTCAGAGGAGTGAAGAGAGGCCATGAAGAATGATGATGAAAGGGATGTAAACCTTCCCAAGTCCCAAGACATGAGAGACTCCCTGCCCCTTGCTCCTACCCTAACCAAAAAAACCCAAATCCGTTGCCGTCACGTCAATTCCAATGCATAGCGACCCTATAGGACAAAGTAGAACTGCCCCATAGGGTTTCCAAGGCTGTAATCTTTCCGGAAGCAGACTGCCACATCTTTCTCCCGCGGAGTGGCTGGTGGGTTCAAACTGCTAACCTTTTGGTTAGCAGCTGAGAGCTTTAACCACTGAGCCACCAGGGCTCCTTCCACCCCTACACCCACCTCTAAATCGAGAGAAGGGACTGGTGTCTCAGGGAAAAAGCAGGCTCCTTGGAGCAGGAGCTGATGGTGAGCCACAGGGGAACACGGGGGAGCTGATGGCGGCTCAGCTCCTGCCCAGGAAAGTGAATCCAGGGTTCACTAATACAACATCATCCACGAACAAGTAGCCACGGAGACCACAGTCATCAAACACACACACACACACAGACACGTCACAGCAGTGGACAAGACCGCAGGCTAGAGGTGGGGAGGCAGGTATTAATTGCATCATTATGTTGAGGACTGGTGGTAGAGGGGACTGGGGGCACAGGGGGACACATGAGTTCTTGGCTTCTCCTGGGGAAAGATCTGTTGCTGAAGTGGCTGGTTTTCTTAAGCGTCAACAGGTGCTGGAGGGTGAGGAGGAAGATGATTTAAATTAAAAAACAAAACTCTGGCTCCTCTCAGGAATCCTTCCTTACTTCCTTCCCCACCTTTTAGCACAGCCCCTCTGCCCACTGAAACTCCCACTCTAAGCCCCAGCTCCCGGCAAAGCCAAGGAGCAGGGATGGCCCATGAGTTTGCTGGGAAAGGAGATGAAGACATAGGAGCATGGTGGGTCTCACGGAAGGGACTCTTCCAGGGCTGGAACCTGGTAAGACAGTAAACCTGGGCTTTCTATTGGAGGGTACCCCAATATTTGCTGACAGTCCTGAGACCTAGGAGAAAGGGGTTTCTGAGGAAGCCCTGTTGTTAGTTGCCGACAAGTCAGCCCCGACCCATGGGGACCCCGTGCACAATGGGATTGGATTCATCGGGTTTTCACTGGCTGATTTTTGGAAGTAGATCGTCAGGCCTTTCTTCCTAGTCTGTCTTGGTCTGGAAGCTCTGCTGAAATCTGTTCAGCATCACAGCAACACAGCCTCCACAGACAGACAAGGGGTGGCTGTGCCTGAGGCGGATTTGCTGGGAATGTAACCCGACTCTCCCTCAGGAAAGGCAAGAATTCTACCACTGAACCACCACCGCCCTCTAGGAAGCCCCAGAGTCTCAGTCTAACCTGCCAGCTTTGATGAGTGGACATGAAGCTATCGGAGGTAGGTCCCTGCATCCTATGCTGGGTTCTACTATCTCAAGCTCAGGCAAGTCACTCACCTTCCTGAGCCCCATCCTAGAAGACGGATGTAATGAGCCCTGCTCTGCCCACCCCCAGCTGTTATGAGGACATAAAAGCACCTATAAAGTACACGAGATTATTAAAATCACAGTAAAAGCTGGCGTATCAGGTATTTTATCATCCGGGAATCTCTTAATTTACAATTTGGAATAAAGTTATGTATCTGTATAACCCAAAACCCACCGCCATCGAGTCAATTCTGACTCACAGAGACCCCATAGGGTTTCCAAGGCTGTAAATCTCTATGGAAGCAGACTGCCACATCTTTCTCCTGTGGAGCCGCTAGTGGTTTCGAACCGCCGACCTTTTGGTTAGCAGTCAATCGCTTTAACCACTGTGCCACCAGGGCTTCTTATATATCTGTATATTACTACTTATTTTATGCCAAAAAAAAGAAAAGGCAGAAGTGAGTTGATAGAAGACTGATCCCCCGCCCCTGTATATTCCAGGGTGGTGCAAACAGCTAATGTGCTTGGCTGCTAACCCAGAGGCACCTCGGAAAAAAGGCCTGGTGACCTACTTCTGAAAAATCAGCCACTGAAACCCCTATGAAGCACAGTTTACTCTGACACACATGGGGTCGCCATGAGTCAGAACCGACCAGCAGGCAACTGGTGGTTATATTCCAGAGCATGAGAGAAAGTCAGACAGGAGCAGGCGGATGACCGAGAAGGCCACCAAACCACGGCCAAAATGCCTGCGCTCCAGTTCCAGTCTGTCACTTACTGTCTGTACGGCTAGACATCCTCTGAACTCAGTTTCTTCATCTATCAAATGGGGATAAACCCTACCTGTCCTACTTTTTCTGGCAGGCTCAAATGAGTGGCGCAAGGGTTAAGTGCTCAGCTGCTAACCGAAAGGTTGGCAGTTTGAACCCACTCAGTGGCTCTGTGGGAGAAAAAACCTGGTGATCTGCTTCCGTCAAGATTTACAACCTAGAAAGCCCTATGGGGCAGTTCTATCTGGTCACATGGAATCACTAGGAGTCAAAAATCGACTTGATGGCATCTAACAACAATAACAAGGCATTCAACCGTTATTACACTCCTGTGCCCTCTGCAATGAACAATGGAAACAGATACTAAATCAGGGGACCTAAATGTTGATAGGAGCCCTGGTGGCATAGTGGCTAAGAACCTGGCTGCTAACCAAAAGGTCAGCAGTTCAAATCCACCAGCCCCTTGGAAACCCTATGGGCCTGTTCTGCTCTGTCCTGCGGTGTTTCTACGAGTCAGAACCGACTTGAGAGCACCTAACAAGAACAATAAATGTTGATAACTGGTAACACTGGTATGGGAGTGCGGGGGGCTTATATTATTCTCCCAGTTTTTGTGTAGGTTTTGAAAATTTCATAATAAAATGTTAAAAAAAAAAAAAAAACAAAAAACTGGTCCTAAAGTACTTTCTGAATCATCCTGAAAGCCATTACCTTTATGGTACTCTGATATTAAGAGTGTTTCACCAACTCTAATTCTCTCCCACGTCAGGCCCTGTGGCAACTAGGATGACGCCCTATCACCCTGTCTGCTGGTTTGTGTGGAAGGCCCATTTGCTTGGCCATTTGCTGTGTGCATGTACAGGACACCTGGGGCGTGTCTGGTCCTGGGCTGTATCATTGCCCCTTTCAGACATAAGGCTCTGATAGATCAGTCTTCTATCGGCTCATTTCTGACTTTTTTTTTTTTTTTTTTGCATAAAATAAGGTGTAATATACAGATATAGATACCTTTATTCTAAATTGTACATTAAGAGATTCCTGGATGAATCCTAGTAAAAACTGTGCCCACTGCAAAAGCCAGCCCAATACTTCCCATGCCTGGCTGGCTGACAGAGCCTCCCCTAGCATAGCCAAGACCTCGCCGGGGACAGTGATGGTGACAGAGGAAGATCCAGGAAGAGGGCATCTCACCTTCCTATCCGAGGGCCGCACTTCAGTTCTCTGCTTTCTGGGGCTCTGTTGCTAGAAAGAAAATCAGGACAGATTGTAGAGAATGGATCCCTTACTGCAGAGGGCCCGACTCTGGGGGAGCCTGACCACTGTGGGCCACCCTACAGCTGCCGTGCCAGTGCCCCATTCTGGGGGAGCCTGACCACAGTGGGCCACCCCACAGTAGCTGTGCCAGTGCCCAAATCTGGGGGAGTCAAGGGATTCAGAGCCAGACAGGACTGGGGCAGCCCTTGCCCTGCTGCTCACGGGTGACAGGAACTGAGCTCCTCAGGTGTAAACTGTGGAGAGTGACGGCCACCTCATGAGGCCACATGCAGGTCAAACGTGAAGTGGTCTGCCACGCATTCTGCACAGTGCCTGCCACAAAGCAGGAGCACAGTAAATAGAGGCTGTCACTGGGAGTTTGGGGGTGGGAAGGTGACAATGCACTGAGGCCCTGGGGACCTCTCTCCTGGCACTGTGGGCACATGTCTGACCGGCTCTAGGGAGGCCAAGGAACCTGATGATAGTCCCACCCCCAGCCATACAAGGACCCTCACACTCCCGCAGTCCCTTTGGGCAGGTGGCCATGGGGAGTTACCATTTGCAGTGATGAGGTTCTCCACCTGGGCCTCCTCATCCCCTGGAGCCCTGTGAGAGGAAGAGACGCAGCCTTGTCAGAGATCCCCAGAGAAGACCATGGCTGGGACACGGCCATGTGATCAGCCTCCTCAAGTCACCTGAGGGGCTGGAGCACGTTCTACCATGGGCACAGGAGCAGAGGGAGGAGTGGGGCTGAAGGGGGCCATCAGCAGGAACTCACAGGTTCCCTTCAACACCAGCCCTCGAGAGAAATGAGTACTGGGAAGAGGTTGCCTAGGCCCACACGGGGGCTCAGGCTGTGTCCTGCCATAGGGTTTGGACTGCTGGGGTGTGACCTTCATGTGAGGGAGAGAGAGAAATGAAAGGGAGTCTAAGTTTCTATTCAGCCCAAAGAGCATAATGAACAGGTGACAAGAGTGACAGTGTCACAGTCGTACAGAGAGGACATGGACATCAAGAGAGACCACATGGAAGAGACCAGACTTAATGGTCTAACTGAGACTGGAGGAACCTCACAGAGCATGGCCCCCGGACTCTCTGTCAGCCCAGCACTAAAACCATTCCCGAGGCCAACTCTTCAGTCAAAGATCAGACTGGACTATGGGACATAAAATGGTACTTGTGAAGAGTGTGCTTCTTAGTTCAAGTAGATACATAAGACTAAATGGGCAGCTTCTGCCCGGAGGTGAGATGAGAAGGCAGAGAGGGTCAGCAGCTGAATGTACACATGAAATCAGGGGTGGAAAGGAGGAATGTGCTGTCACAGTATAGGGAGAGCAGTTAGGGTCACCTAACAATGTAGGTATAAATTTTTGTATGAGAGACTAACTTTAATTGTAAACTTTCACTTAAAGTACAACAATAAAATAAAAATTTTTTTTAAAAGAAAGAGAGAGGCCATACGGCCATCTGCTGCTCTGCTCCTATGATAAACTGTCTTAAGCGATTCCAGACAACTTTCCAGCACCTTCTTGCCCACCCATATCCATCAGGAGAGTCAGGGATGGGCTATCTCTCCATGTTTCCACCTCTCCTTTGCCCGAGAGTCTACCTGGCCATCCTCCAACTTCTTCTCCTACCACCTACAACACACATCCTCTTTCTAAAACAAAAATCCAAGGGGACACCATTTGGGGCCACACACCACGGGCCCCTCCGTGTCCCCTCCTAGTGTTACCCCAGATGTCCTCAGCCATGGCAGCCTTACCGGGGCTTCTGACTGAAACCGCACTTGCATCTCCGACCTGAAAGGCAAAGAAACCATGCAAGGTCAGGCTCCTTGCTTGCCCCGAGTCTGCGTAGTCATGTGACTATGGAAATGGCGTTCCTGGAACTGAGCAGGGCTCAGCCTGCACAGCTGTATGTGGCAACCCTAGGCTGGAGTAAAGGCCTTGAGAGACCAACGTGGTATATTTGACCGCTCTGGTGGTTACACCACCACAGGCTACTTGATCATGAAGGTGCAGACCAGGGTCACGTAGGGAAACCAACTCAGGGCCCATCCTGCAAAGCACCCCAAGGACAGTACCTCCCGCCCATCTCCTGTGACTCCCCACTCATGCCCTGCTGGATACAGCACCAGGAGGGCTCACCCTGCCCCTTCTTCTTATCCAGGCTTCTCCTCACCCAGCACATATCCTGTTCGTGATTCACTGTTTTATTGAGCACTTACTATATGCCCAGCCCTGTGTGAGGTCCTGAAAATACCATGGAGAGCAGTCTCCTTCCCTCTCCAGAAGAGAGAACGGCCAGGCTCTTACACTGTTGTCACCGGCTTAGCAGCCTCAGTCATTACAGAGTGAGCTGAGGAGCAAACACACTTACTTAGGATAAGGAGGATCCCCACCGAGAAGAGGACCACTGCGAATACCAGGCCACCGATCCTCAGGGTCTGATAGTCTGCCAAAGGAACCAAGGATGAGAGATGGCAGAAAGGAGGAGCCAGAGAGAGTGCATCTGTCCCTCCCTTGGATGGAGTGTACCTCCCTGCATGCAACCTCACCCTCACCTCTCCCCCACCCAGGGGTGCCTTCACCACTCACCATAATGAAAAGGGTCCTTTTCTTTCTCCTGCTCAGTTGCTGCAAACAATAAACAGATATGGTCAGGAGGAAGACAGCCACACATCTTGGTCCCCAGCTCCCTTGTCTTGCCTCACAGGTCCACTCCCCATAAAGGGATTCCTGGGAAGCAGGGCCATTAAGCACAGTCACCTAGAGAAGCACTGCAGGGTGGGTCTGCTGTTAGGGCGCACGTGGGAGCCAAGGGCAGGTACGGCTCAGAGCCCCAGCCGAGAAGCTGCTTTCACAGCACATCAGAGCACATGGCTCTTTTATTGTCCTGTCATCCCCCAAAGGCAGGGTCTCTTATCCCCTTGTTACAGACAAGGAAACACAGGCTAAGGAAAGACAAGCAACTGCAACAGGCCAGAGCTGCTTAATTATGGTGCTGAGACTGATCTGCAGGTCAGACTCCCAAGGCTCAGGCCAAACGTGAGCCCTCCAACCATAAATGTCTCAAAGGGCCAAAACCTTCAACCAGAAAGGGCAGAGGCTGGATTCTGTCCTTGCTAGGTCCTAGGAGGGCACTTACCACTGGCCAGGACCACAGGGGCCAGCAGGCTGCATAGAAAGATGAGCACCACCTCCATGGCGTCTGGGGACAGAAGGAGGAAAAAGATTCTCTGGTTAGGAGGCCCCCACCCCAACCACCAGCCTAACCGGGGTGGAGTGGGATTCCCCAGCTCTACTGTCTACATGAGAGTTCAAACCACCACCAAAACAAAATCAGCTGACATTTATCAAACTCTCAGGGAGTGCTTCGCATGCATTAATTCAATTAATACACTTGAATTAATACCACGAGTAGGTACTGTCATGGATTGAACTGTGTCCCCCAAAAATATCTGTCAACTTGGCTAGGTCATGATTTCCAGTATTGTATGACTGTCTACCATTTTATCATTTGATGTGATTTCCCTATGTGTTGTATACTCTATCACTATGATGTAATAAGATGGATTAGTGGCAGTTATATTGATGAGGTCTACAAGATCAGTGTCTTAAGCCAATCTCTTTTGAGATATTAAAAGAGAGAAGTGAGCAAAGAGACATGGGAACCTCATACCACCAAGAAAACGGTACGTCGTTTGGACCTGAGGTTCCTGTGCAGAGAAGCTCCCAGACCAAGGGAAGATTAATGTCATGGACTCTCCTCCAGAGCCGACAAAGAAAGCGTTCCCCTGGAGCTGACACCCTGAATTTGGACTTGTAACCTACTGGACTGTGAGAGACTAAACTTCTCTTTGTTAAAGCCATCCACTTGTGGTATTTCTGTAATAGAAGCACTAGACAACTAAGACAGGTACCGGTACTAACTTCATTTTGCAGGTAAAGAACTTAAAGCTTAGAGAGGTTAAATGACACCCAGGATAGCGAGCGGAAGAGCCTAGATCCCGACCCAGCTCAGTAACCTCTCCACCACACTGCCTGTCTGGTGCCAAAGCCGTAAGGGCTTTGGGGATGATCTCCTCTGGGCCCTTCCCTCCAAGCCACCCTCTGTGGCCAACCCTAGCTCATTAAGATGTCGGTGACTTTCTGGCCTGGCTCCCCACAGCCACCAAGCACTGTCAAAAACTCTGGTTCATGTCCAGATTAAATGAGGGGCAGGTAAACCAATGGCCTTCTAATCCAGCCAGCCAGATGGAGGGAGACTTGCTGTTTACGTACTCTGTATAGTAAACCCTGCAACGCTGACCGTTCTCCCTGGAGTGGAAATACAAATTCTCTGACCTCTACGGTGCCCAAGTCAACTCTTCCACAATCCTCCATGAGCCTCCAGCAGGGGAGCTGCTTAAACAAAGGGAGCTGGGAGATGGGGTTCTCTGAGCTTCAACGCCTGGCCACTCCTTCCGCAGAGGATACCTGAGCCCTGTTCATAAGTTCAAGTCCCTGGTCTCGGGTGAGGGCCCCAGGGAGGCAGAGGTAGGATCAGTTTGTCCCTCTGAGGGGCAGATTTTGGGGGAGTTACACATACCTCATTGCTGGGATTAGACAAGTGTAGTAAAAGGACCGAGAGGAAAAGGGGAAAGGAACTCAAACCCGGAAAGCCCCAGACCCTTTGCTCTTTTCCAAGTAGGGTGGGCCTGGCAGTGGCCTGAACCCCTGAACATTGGTCTAGTGGTCAGGACCACGCAGGGCCTGCTCTGTGGGGTCACCCATATTGTTTTCACCAGCGCTTTGAAGGCGGTTGTTCCAGTTCACACCCCTGCGGAGTATCTGCATGTCTAACAAGTTCCCAGGAAAGTTTACATAAGAATCATCTGGGGATCTTGTTAAAATGTAGATTCTGATTCAGTCTATCTGGGGTGGAAATACCAATTCTCGGCAGGGATCTTGTTAGAAATGCAAACTCTCAGCAGGTGTTCGAACCAGGTTTTCATAGGCCCCCGCGGTGTCTGGAGTTAAGTAGCAACCGTTGTCCTTCACCCCGCAGCCACCAGAGGTCAGAACAACCACGTCCAGAGCCAGGCCCAATGCACAAACCTGGGGTTCAGAGGAGCAATTCAAAATGTGTTTACCAAAAAGCCTAAAGAGTAATTTGCTTTTAAGGCTATTTAATATTTTTATTTCTTTTAAATTTTCTGTTATATTTTCTCTGTATACAAATATATGTAACACACACATATAATGAAGCATTATGTGTGCGTTACATATATTTGTATACATACAAAATATAATGCAAATAGGATAAACACCCATGAACATCTAACTTTAAGAACTAAAGCTTTACAAATACTGCTGCATTTACCCATATTTTCTTCCAATCCCGTCCTCTCCTTCCCTCCCAGAGATAACCAGTATTATGAAAATATATTTTTTAAATTATTCCCTCATATTTCTTTTACAATTTTTTTTATTAAGATATACTTCACATACCATGAAATTCACCATTTTAAAGTGGTTTTTAGTATATTCACAAGGCTCTGCTTCTATCCAAAACCAAAAACCAAGCGTGTTGCCATAGAGTTGGTTCTGACTCATGACGACCCCATGTGTTACAGAGCACAACTGCTCCATAAGGTTTTCTTGGCTGTAATCTTTACAGAAGGATATTGCCAGGCCTTTCTTCTGCAGCACCCCTGGGTGGGTTCAAACCACCAACCTCTAGGCTACTAGTCAAGCGAAAACCGTTTGCACCATCCAGGGGCCTGTGCTTCCCATCAGCAGTTTACGGGACATTTTTATCACCTCAGAAAGAAGCCTTGTGCTCATTAGTAGCCATTCCCCATTCCCCTCTCCCTCCAGCTCCTGGCAAACCAGTAATCTACTTTCTGTCTCTGTGGATTTGCCTATTCTGGACATTTCATATAAACGGAATCACAAAATATGTAGCATTTTGTGTCTGGTTTTCACTTAGCTTTGTTTTCAAAGCTCATCCATGTTGTAGCCTGTATCAGAACTTCATTCCTTTGTATAGCTGAACAATATTCTCTTTTAAAAAATACAGTTACCACATGAATATGAATATATAAATAATATATTGTTTAATGCAGCTGTTTTGATTTGTACATAGGGTTACCACGCGTCAGTGCTGACCTGATGCTAACTAACAAAAACAAATAGTGATCTGGCCATGTGGGAGCAGAAGCATCTCCCTTTTCTCTTCTTCCTCCTCTTTCAGGAATGTCTTCATATATAATAGATACACACATACACACATATATGGGATTTTCATTGGAATTGCAGTGGATCTAGCTACAGAACAATAATTTAGGGAGAACTGGTATTTTCTGATTTTGAGTCTCTTATGCACAGATAAACCCCAATCCTAACCCTAACAGTCTGCACATCATTTGTTAGATTTATTCCTAGGTACCTTATAATTTTTATTGCTATTTTAAATGCTAACTTTTGTGTATGTGTTCTGATTTTTGCTGGTATAGAGAAAATCAACTGGTTTTTATATACTGATCTTAAATCCAATAATCTTGCTAAACTCTTATTACTTCTAATAATTTACCTATGGATTCCTTTGGGTTTTCTCTGTAGACATATCCTCTGTAAATGATACAGTATTCTTTCTTTCCAATTCTTACCCTGCTTACTTCTATTTCTTGTCTTACCTGCCCTTGATAGGAATTCTAGTAAAATGAGTGGTAACAGTGATAACAGACACACACACACATCCTGGTTTTATTACTGATTTTAAATGGACTGCTTCTAATATTTTAGAAATTCCCCTCTAATCCTAGTTTTCCATGAGGTCTCTGTTTTTATTAATTATTAATGAGTGTTCTGTATCTACTGAGATCATATGCTTTTTATCCTTGGATCATGTGCATACCCTTTAGTCTATCAAAGAGGTACACTATACATATGGATTGTCCAGTGTTAAACCATCCTTGCATTTCTGGGGGTAAAACCAGTGTACCATCTTTTTAATGGAGTCCCTGGATGATGCAAACAATAAACACTCTTGGCTGCTAACCAAAAGAGGCTGGATGTTTGAGTCCACCTAGAGGTGCCTAGGAAGAAAGGCCTCGTGATCTACTTCTGAAAAATCAGTCATTGAAAACCCCATGGAGCACAGTTCTACTTTGACACACATGGGGTCACCAAGAGTAAAGAATCTCTATGGCAACTTTTTTTTTTTTTTAAATAAACTACCGGGTTTGGTTTGCTGATATTTTATTTAGGACTTTTGCCTCAATGTGCATGTGTGAGACTGGGCTGTAATTGTGATTTTACTGTGGACCTTGCCTGGTTTTGGTATCATAGCAGTACTAGCCTCATAGAACGAGTATGCCCTCTCTTGGTATTCCCTGGAAGAGTTTGCAGGAGACTGAAATAATCTGTTCTTTGAAAGTTCGGTAAAAGTAACCTGGGCTTGGTATTTTCTTTGTGGGAAGACTTTAAACTTACCTGTTTAATTAATCAATGGTCATGGCACTCTTTAGATTTCTATTTCTTCCTCAGTACATTAAGCAAGTTATAATTTTATAGAAAATATAACTTTCTGCTTTCAAATTTATTACCATAAAGTTTTTTTTTAACATCTTAATGTATTCTTATTTTAATTTCTGCTGGATCCGTAGGTATGTCCATTTTTCATTCCTAATAGTCCTTGTGAAGAGGACTTAAAGCACTTA